CATCTGCACACATCTTTGCAGGTTCAGAATGCATAGCCTTTTTGTGCTGCCCCATATGTGCAGCAAAGCTGAGGCTTTTTGGCTTCCCTGTGCTTCAAATTAAGCTACATTTAGCAAAGCAGATGTAAAAACAGCATTCTGGAGCCTTTAGTGGTAAATTCTGTAGTGAAGTTCGTTAGAATCCAAGATGAAAACTACAAGATCAAATTTACTACCAAAAATGGGGTCATGATTTTTTAAATTCACATATCAGTTTCATTTTCCATCCTCCATAATAAAAGGGCCAAGAGTCAGAAATTAATGGAAATGTTTGTACCACATAGAGGCAAAGTGTTACTCGGGCTGATTTTTTGCAGCTGTATAGGCTTAAAAGGAATGAAAATAGTAGAATGTTATTTTTATCAAGTTGGATTAGAAGGCAATGATGAAGCAGGTAGTGTGAAAAAACAAGGTATCATCCTTACAGCCTCTTTCCTAGTCATAAATATGCTTCAATTTGCATTTCTATTCTAGTGAAAGCTGCTGCTGAAATAAACTTCAGTCACACGCATGCTCTCTCTAAAATTATATTTATGATTCTATGGGTGCAAATAAGTAATTTTGTTCTTGAAGAAATTTGCCAAGTCAGTGTTTATTGAACATTTCAACATTTCAAAACGAGGACTAGACAATGTTCCCAGCTTGAGCGAACAGAAAATCTTACATTGATTTCAGCAGTGCAGGACCAGATCTTAATTCCTTTCTTTTTCAGAGAAAAATCTGCATTTTGTGGCAATGACTGCTTACAGTTGTTATCTGATCATAAAAAGCTCTGTTTTTTTCTGTGAACAAGACTCTTTCTCCTCATATCTAGTGATAATACAGTGTCTCACAGCACAGATTGCCTGGTCTCACTGAGAGTGATACAGGCTGAGTTCATCAAACAGGCAAATCCCTCTCTATTCCGAGAATATCTGTTCCTGTGCCCTGAGCGCTCATCAGACCTGAGATTTTACAAAGCTCTGAAGTGATGACTAAAACCAACCAGTGATCAGGCAAAGCATTTCAAAAGCTCCCCATCTCCTTCCTCTCTCTGGCTTGTCCTTGCATCACGGGCAAGAAAAGAAACAGAAGGACCCAGACTTAGAGCAGAGCATTGAACATTGCAGAAATGTCTTGTGCTGTGCAGTGCTACGCCGCCTTCTCCTGATGTCAAAGCCTAACAACCTCACAGAGGCAGTGGGGAACAGAAATAGCCACCTGGTACTGCCAGATATTCCCCAGATGAGTTCAGTGTCAGGGAGGCTTGTGATCACAGCAAATGAGAAGTGAATACTGGAAAATGTTCACTAAAGGCAAGCTTGGACCTTACAAATGCACACCCGTGCTTGCCTTTAAAGTGGACCTCATCCTACTAGGAAAGGGGGGAATGACCTGCACGTAGGCAGAAATCGCAGTCAAAATGATGTCTGCTCAACGTTTGTATACATGCAATAAAGCCCATGAGAACAATTTGTAGATTATAAATTATCTTCTGAAAACGGTTAATTTTCAATGCTTTTGCATACAAACCATTCAAGAGATAAAATTACTCTAATAAATTACAGTGAAACATTCCCTAAACTTTTTGTATCAGTTTATGTTACTAAAAGGTCATTTATAATTTTGAATATTCTCGGTTGAAACTCCTATTTTGCAGGTTATCCTACAACTCTAATACAGTATATGATCAAAATAGTCTGCAAGTATTTAAATCAGACAAGTATGCGCTTTATATAGGTCTTTTTGCTTTGTATTTGTACAGTACCATGACAAGATCTCTGAAGCACTACCAAAGTACAAAAAAACCCACATTCCTAATGATAAAATTATTGCTTGGGGATTATAGTAATATGTTACATTCACAGCCACAAAGGTCATAAGTGCAGCTCATAGTTTGTTGTTGACACTGGATTCATGTTATTCTACAGACTCTAAATAAAAATACATGCTTGTAAACACTGGATTGTGCCTTTCCAATGCTGTTCTGCAATAGACAAGACCAGGGCAACAACACTGTTTGCATCTTGACTGGAAAATATAATGTTCCCAAGCACTGACACTCAACTGCCTGTATGCTAAAATTCCTAGAAAAGCCCCTGACATGGTATTGACCAGTGCAGAACTGAGTACACACAATTCCTGGCTACGTTTCAGGTGTTAGCATGGGACACAGATGATTCCTAATAAGCAGATTGTATGAGACTACCCTGCTTTGAAAACAAAGGGAGTTCAATAATACAAGCGTGGGCTGTACCACTCCATTTAGCCTCCATGCTAAAGAATAGGCCTGGGCACATTTAATTTGCCAATGTGGCCATAGCCAGTACATACTGATATGATGAAACATGAATGAACTATTCAGGGACTTATTTAGGAGAACTCCTTGTCATTTGCTGGAAAATGAAACAAGTCACTGAAACCTCATATGCTGTATGCGTTTGCCTAAGAGACTCACTGAAACAAATACTTTGAACAGAATACTCTAAATTGGCCTAAATTGGCACGGTATTGCTACCTGGCTGTTGTGTTCAAACAAACATAAGGTTTATTGGGAGAGGGGAAGCATTCAGAAGTCTTTTTTTTTTTTTTTTTTGCAGTGCAGATTAATAATATGTATAATTTTTGTCATGAAGAAAAGCAGAGAGAGTAAAAATAGCTCTCAAGTGAGATAGCTGCTATTCACTCCCCTGTTCCTGGAACCATGACAGCCATTATATAACCAAAAGGAAAATTAAACGAAATAAACAGCATAAGCTAAATGGGTCGATATCAAGTAAAAATATAATTAGTCAAAGTGTTTTGTGGCAAAGGCACTGACAATATGTAGCTGTTCCTCAGCCTTAGTGGTGAACAGGGTTCCTGCCATGTGTTTAAAACTTATTCATCAAGCATTTCCATGGAAACACACAGATGCACAGTCCTTGGATCACTTATTTCAGGAATTGCTACTCCCAAGGTTCACTCTGGAATGAGACCTCAGACCAGGAGGGTTGACAGGCTGTGATTCTGATCTAGAAACATCCCCATACAGGTATTTGGTGGGTCTCCTGGTAGGAGAATTTGGGTGAGGG